GAGGACCAGCAGGTCTACAGAACCATCAGGTCTACAGGAGCAGCAGGACTACAGGGCCAACGGGTCTACAGGAGCAGCAGGTATAGAGGACCAGCAGGTCTACAGGAGCAGCAGGTCTACAGAACCAGCAGGTCTACAGGACCAGCAGGTCTATAGGACCAACAGGTCTACAGGACCAGCAGGTTTAGAGGACCAGCAGGTCTATAGGACCAACAGGTCTACAGGACCAGCAGGTCTACAGAACCAGCAGGTCTACAGGACCAGCAGGTCTATAGGACCATCAGGTCTACAGGGCCAGCAGGTCTACAGGAGCAGCAGGACTACAGGAGCAGCAGGACTGTACCTTGGTAGATGTCGTACTGTCCGGACATCAGGCCGTAGCTCATGCCCAGGTGTGTGTGATGGTGTGTGTGGAGGTGTCGAGCAAACAACATGTGGTTCCTCTCTCGTTCTCCTTCTGGGGAACCCTTCTCACCAGGCTGCAACAAACAAACAAACAAACAAACAAAAAGTGTTGTTGTTGTTGTTTTTGCTCAGAGTTTTTACAGAGTGTCAATTCTACAAAGTTCTGAAAACTTATAAAACTCCATGACACAAGTCCTGGAACAGAATCCTCCACAGTGAAATGTTGAGTTTCCTGTTCTGAAGCTGCAAACGTTCCAAAGTCAGAACTGATTAGAAAACATCGTTTGGTCGTCAGAAAAGTTTTAAATGAACCTCCAACAAAACCAAGTCAAACTTTATTCAGCTAAATGAACTGAACATGTTGGAGAGAAAAACTGGTTCCAGGTCCTGATCCAGAACCTCCTTCAGCAGCAGAACTCTCTGGTTTCTGTAGGACTTGATGCGTCTCTCTCCTGGTTGTGGAGGAGTTTTGGCCCACTCTTCTTTCCAGCATTGCTTCAGATTATTGAGGGTTCTGCTCAGATCTTGGAAGATCCGGCCACAGCATTTCAGTCAGACAGAGGTTCTGGACTCTGACTGGACCACTGCAGCAACTTAATCCTGTTCTTTTTGACCCATTCTGTTGTAGAGCAGTTGCTGTGTTTGGGATCATTGGACAGAGCTTGGTCCAAGCTTCAGCTGTTGGACAGATGGACTCACATCTTACTCCAGAACCTTTTGGTCTACAGAGGAGTTCCTGGTCCACTCAGTGACTGAGGGAGCCCAAACCATAAGCCTCCACCACCGTGCTGACAGCGGGAGGGGCTGGTTGGCTGGTTTGCTGTATTTCCAGACACGCTGCTGTGATCAAATTATAAAACTTATAATCTGTCCAGATTATTTCAGTTTGCGGACGACTCAGTGGTTTATGCTTGTGTTCATTCTAAACCTGAAACTGTGTTTTTATTTACAAAGATGTGGTGGGATTTTTTTTATAATAGTGTTGATTTCACTGTCGGTAACAAATAGTGAACATTAAATGTATCTCACTGTTGGTGTTCTGATCTGTTAATTGAAATAATTTTCTTGTTTTGAGCCAGATGGCAGACAAAGTTCAACATGTTGCATTTAATGGTTTTATGGTTATTATCAGTTTACATCATTTTTTTTGTGTTTGTGAAATAAAGTTCAGTTTTAGTTTTAAACAAGCTGCTGGTATCTGTCTCCTTTCCTGGATCCAAATGTTCAGAAACGATATGTTTGCTGCTTCACGCTGCAGTGCATTATGGGTAAAAAAATAAGTCTAATTTTTCGTTTTATAAGCAACGACAGTCATATATGTTTTTCAATTATAAGCTGTCAAATAAACCCTTAAAGTCAAGAAGTTTCATAAGATATAATTAAAGCTGATGTGATTTTTTTAATATTAAAATCAGAGGTTAGAGGTTTAAAACTAACAAAGTTAAATTTACTAATTCATGATGACGGACGTGTAAATAAAAAGACATTTATGTTGGAGTACAGCAGAAAACCAAACAAAGAGTTAAAATCTGCAATCATTAAGATAAATGTAAAACAATTAAAATATGAACTTTCTGTTGATCTTCATCGTCTTGGATCTGTGTATCATCTGGAGAGCAATGATCAGAACTGTGTCTGTTTGTGTGATGAACATTGTGTCATTCTATAGTTATGTTGTTTACATATAAATAAGGAGCTGACTGAGGTTTTTATGCAGCAGCATTAACTTTAACGAGCACCGATTGAGGACTGTGCTTCTCGTGTTTGTCTTTAATCTTATCGTTGGGTGTTTTTCAGACATCACACCATTCATGCAAACATCAGAGGAGGAACACCGACAGGTCTCTTACAACGGGGGATTTTCCACGGTACTGATGGCTCGGCTGCTGCAGCAGCTCCACGCCGGAGGACGAGGACGATGGTTCGCCCATCAGCTTGCCGCTCACCGCCTCCCCTCTGCCGGCTGGACTCACCTCCGACTCCTCCCTGCCCGCCGTCTTTCCGTACAGAGGATAGTGGAAACCTGCAGAACACAAAGCCACAAACAAATGACAAGTGGACACAGGATTTCTTTGCTGATGCTTTAATACACACTGAGAAAATAAATCTAATTATTTCAACCTTGATTGGGTTTTAGATTATAATAGTTTTGCTTTTTTCTCCCTTTTTTATTTTGACGTTGCGCCTCCACATTAATGTAAAGTTAATTAGTAGCTGTCTTGCAGCAAAAACAGATCAAATTAAAGTTTTACAGCATTATCAGTAACATTTACAAAAGTTTTAACATATGAAAAACAAAGATAGTCTGAAATATACTGGTTTTAAATGTTTGGGGGATGATTACTGTTTAAAAACTTGGGGATAAACATCACACTATGTTTTAAGAAAACTGTGGGCGGGGCTTAAAGGGAGCTGAAGCACAGCAGAGAGGAAGGAGGAGGGGCTTATCAGTTGTAATTATTACAATTTTAACACTTTTTTTACAAAAAATATGTGAAAATCATATGTGAGTCTTGTTTTCCATGTTTCCCATGTTGCTTTGGAAACAAAACCCTATTAACATCATATGAGGAAAATACACTCGTTATGAATCAAACCCTCTCAATGACTGAACATTATTAATTTAATAATACATATATATTTAAACTACTTCAACTTAAGATGCTGCTAAAATGAACTTATCAACTGAAACAGTCTGGATAAATAATCAAAAAGCTGTTTCTAAACAGGCTGTAGACGTTACGAGTCTTTAAATGTTAAATCTAAGATGAAGCCGTTCATTCAGATTAGAAACTAAATGTTTCCAAACAGCTTAAAACTAAAAAGCAGCAACTTCTTACCTGATATATCAATCTAATGGAATATTTACACAAATATTTAAACATGATACGAGCTGGAGTTTCTTCTGCTCAGTGCATTTGAAAACGTTAAAAAGATTTTGGGTCTCACAGACATTGTTTTAGGCCAGGTTTCAAACAGACCAGTCTTCAGATCTATGGCTTCAAACAGATCATTATGGTGGTTGTAAGCACATATATCATATTATATATGATATCTATGGTTGTAAGATGCTGAAGTCTGTGCTTCCAAATGTAAAATGGTCTATTTAGTTGTTGACTTTGAGTTTTTCTGTCTTTAGCTCCCCCTGCTGGTCAGTAGATTGACTGCAGAGTCTGCCTTGATTTTATATATAGTCTGAATAAACAGAAACTTGAGGTTAACTAATAAATTTTTGTATAATTTCAGACACGACAGAGCGAAAGGTTCACAGAAATGTCCAGAGTCAACATTTTTACTGAAGCAAAGGTGACTTTCTTAGAGTCTTACCTGGGTAGTTGTGGACCATGGTTGGGGACGGTCCTCTGTAGGCACCCCCGCTGGTCTCACACATAGTCAGGTAGGAGGAATAGGAGTGCTGGTACTGGATGTAGGACTGCTGGGGGGTAACCGAAGGAGATGGCGCTGCACTGGCACTTTGGGACCCCTCAGAGAGCCCATCCACAGCTTCCTGACCTGGATCTTCTAGCTGGTCTGAGTCCTCCATGCTGATGGTGGGTGGGAGATCATGAATCCCATAAACTCTGGCTTTTTTAGCATCAACTCCTGCTCCTCCTGAGGTGATCCTGGACCCAGCAGACTCCATGGTGGTTCCCCACTCCTTCCCACAGTCAGCGTCGCCCTCCTGGGCGCTGTCCTCGTGTTGCTCCGAGTGTTTGCTGTGAGTGAAGCGGTGAGCCCGGCCTGGGCCGTCTGAGGGCTGCAGATTGATGGGGAAAGTGTTGGTGCTGGTTCAGTGTTTCCTTTATAATTCTCTGTTAACAGTGGTGGGTAGGAGCCACTTTTGGTGTTGATTCAACTCCGGTCCATGTCTCGGGCCTTCTTTTGTCACCCAACTAAACATGTTTTGATTTAAATATTAACAAATTATCTCTTTAGTGCTTTTTAGAGGGACAAAATGATAAATTAAGACTTTTCATCTGAACATTAATTTGCTTTTTTTTCTTTGCCGTGGCCCACCGCTGCTGGATGACTATAGAGGAAACACTGTGGGTGAACAGAGCCGTGGACAGATCATCTATCACCGGCTCTGGGTGACATGTTGATGAAGGATGGCGACATTTCAACAGCAGGCGTCCATTCAGCAGTGAGATGTGAGGAGAGCGGCGTCCCTCTCAATGACAAGACACGTCTCACACATGATCAAGTGCAGAGTTTAGAGTGATTCTGAGGAAAAACAACAACAACAACCTCTCCGACACGGCTTTCATTCTGACAAACCTGCACAAGCTGTGGTGTTACAGTTAAAGCTGGAAACACACATTCCCTCCAGTAATTTTCACTCTAAACACGAAGAACGTTTTGCATTTGACACAACGGGAGCAGTGTGTCAGAGTGGAGCTCTAGCAGCACAGAAGCCACATGGTCCTGAATGTTAGCACCTGCGGGACACGGGAACACCAACAACACCATCAGCGGCGGCGGCGGCTTACAAACACAGGGAGAAACTTACACTGGAAAAGGAAACATTTGAGTCCAGGTCTATCTGACTGTTTGGGTTGTGGAGGGATGAAGAAGAGGAGGAGGATGACTTGATGTCCTCACAGTCGTTCAGGGAGACCTGGTGCTGGTCCACCATGTCCCTGTGCACCACCTTTAGATTCTGTCCCCTTTCTCCCCTGTCACTCATCTCTATGTAAGAAAGGATGGGTTTGGGACAGCACCCTTTAGCACCATCTGGCCCTTTACCTAGCAGGGGTGCGCTGGGCGAAACCCCCACCTCTCCGTCTCTCATCCCCGACCCCCTCTGCTTGGTGGTGGGGGTCTGGTCACAGCATTTGGAGGCCAGTAAGAGTTTCTGGTCCATGTACAGCCCTCTGGAGTACTGGCCATAGTACAGGGACTGAGCCAAAGCTGTCTGGGTCTGACTCATGGCCAACTGGAGCTGAGACTGAGGTGGCCCGTCTCCTTTCTTAGGATCTGAGAAGTCGTGGGGGGAGGTTTTGTCATCCTCTTTAATGTCATCCTTCCTGTCCTTCCCTTTGCAGTCGTGGGCGGAGCTTTTGTGGAAGGAAATGCTGCCGTTGCTCTGCCTGTCTGACTGCACGTACCCCTGAAGGAAGTAGGGCTCGTAGCTGTGGTAGTACGGGGACTGGGGCTCCTTCGACGGTTGGGCAGAAGCTGTGGGAGGGGTTTTACCAGGATTACCATGGTTACAAATGGAGCTCACCTCAGAGGAAGATGAGGAGCCCGATTTAGATCTGAGCACGTCTGACCGACATTCGGAAGATCCGCCATCTTCCCCGGCATCAGAGATATCGGAGTAGGCGGGGCTGTTGTTTTTGCTGCTGTCTCCTGTTGCTAAGCAACCACCGGTAGAGTCAAGTCGCGATGAGCTGCCAATGGAAGGGCTGGGGGCGTTGTCGGTGAAGGTGTAGACCTTGTCGGCCTCTGCTCGGATGCTGGCCATCCTGCTCTCCTGGGTCTCTGTGAAGCCATTTGTTAGGTCCTGCTTACTGAGGTGCTCCTTCAAAAGGCTCCCAGAGATTTCCTTCGCACCCATTTTAGGTCCATCATCCATTTTGATTCCACCACTGTCACCGTTAGGTGTCCTGTTTGGTGCGTCTTTGTTATGTTTGTCCTTCAGCTTACGTTTTTCTTTTTTCCGTGTCTCTTTGCACGTGACCATGGTGGCTTTAACAAGGGTTGGCTCCACAACAATGCTAAGCTTTGGTTTGATGGGTTTCAGGGCCATGTTTTTACTGGTGAGGCCTACAGCTGCCATGGGAGAGGGCTGATGTGGGGTAACAACTTCTGCCAAGCTGCTCGGATGCGTCGGGTTGGGTATGGCTATCAGCTTTGGCGGAGCGGGAGCTGGAGCAATTGGCCGGTTGGTCCTTGACTTGGACAACTTGTCCACCTTCCCGTTAGCCTTCTTGCCCTTGTCATACAGTCCTCCCTTCTTTTCAATCAGCCCTTCTGCTTCCAGTTTGGGCATCTCTACTGAAGAGCTCCGGTCAGGGACCATGCAGTTCTCTAAAACCACGGTCATGTTGGAGATGATGGGCAGGTTGCTGAGGTCATCAATGAGACCATCCTTTAGAAGTGAGGTTCTCCTGGTTTTAGAGTTGGCTGTGGGGCTGTGGTCAGTACTGAGGAGTAATCGTCGGTTCTTTGGTGACCCCACAGTGGTCACCTTGTAGAGAGGAGCAGATTTCTTAGAGGAGTGGCTGGAATTTGTGCTGTTCTCTGGGAGCTCGTAGGTCTCATTGTTGATGGTATCCTCACAGTCTGACAGTCGGTCTTCACTGTCCCCGTCCTTCATGGGTCCAAGCTCAGGCTTCTCAACCTCCAGGTGGGCATGTGTCTGGTGGTAGCGCAGGCCATTGATGTGCTTGTAGCGTTTGGTGCAGTTTGGATGTGGGCAGTCGATGAGGATGGGTGGAGGAGGTGAAGAAGCACACCCTCCTCCTGGATCCATGAACGAGGGGTCAGATTTGCCCAGAGGTGTAGACGGGGCGCTTCGGGACTTCGCCCGGATCCTTTTCCCATTTCCATTTTTAATGTCATCTGAAGAGGCGAGACTAAGGTCCAGCTCAACCGGCGGCTTGTTCTTCCTCTTCCCAGAAGAGAGAGCAGAGCCGGCAGCTTTCACCTCATCCACAGTGAAAAAGGACTGAGGAGCTCTGCAGCTGCTGTTGATGAGGTTCAGGCTGCCCCGCCGACCTTTGTTGTGGATGGACGAGGCGGTTCCTGCCACGCCGCCGCCACGACTCCGGTGGTGAGAAAGACCTCTAAGTTTGGCACCTGAAGACGGCTCAATGAAAGGTCGCTCTGCCAGGGCCATCCGCATCCGTTTGCCCCGCCCACGGATGCCAGGTAAATCAGGGTCGCTGCAAGGAGACTCACAAAACCTGCACAGACAAAAGAGAGAATGTGGATTTATAAAACTAATGTTTTAATGACGAAAACAGCCATATTTAAATAAAAACAGCATTCAATTGATTTAGTAAATACATTAAATGCTAAAACTGAGAAATTAGTTCAGTTTTAATCGTTTTTAATTTGATGTTGAAGTAGTTCCACGAGCTGTAAGAGTCAGAGGTCCAGATCAGAACCAGCTGGAGGAACATTTAGTAACTAATGAGGTTTAATTATCATCAGGTCAGTCAGAAGACTGGGTCCAAACAGACACTGTTAGAAGTAAAGATGGGCAGAGGTTCAGCACTCTGTCTAAAACTAGTGGAATAAATTCAGATTAAAGTTCCTGAATGAAACACTTTAATCTCCATCATCTCCAGTTTATAATCTGATGAACAGATTAGAAGAATCTGTTGAAATCTCTGCGCTCAAAGGACGAGGCTGGAGGTCAATACTGGATGGTAGTGATTTTTGGGCCGTCAGGGGCCACTGCATTAAACCAGGTCTGGGTCTGTTCTGGGCTCAGGAACACTTCCCCAGATCATCTGTAAACACAGTTCATCCACAGATGCTGCTCAAAGATTTATCAGGGAAAGAAAAAGCCTGATGTGAACACCATCCAAAACCACTGCTGTCTTCTCTGGACCCTAGCTCTTTTAAAATGGACCTGAACTGTTCTGTGGTCAGACGGACCCAAATCCATCCAGCCTGATATCAACACACAGTTCAAAAGCTTGCCTCTGGTGGTATGGAGATTTATTAGTGCCTCTGGCATTGACAACTTTCACATCTGGAAAGACTCTATCAGTGCAGAAAATAATCTACAGGTTTTAGAGCATCTGATCCCTTCTAACAGAGAAGATCCAGGACTGTAGGACAGCTAGGATCCTCGAACAGACCAGAACGAGAAAACATTCCCTCAAAAACCTCCAACAACTGGTCTCCCCAGGTCCTCCAAAACCTCCCAACAACTGGTCTCCTCAGGTCCTCCAAAACCTCCAACAACTGGTC